GAAAGGATCCTCCACTTTCTTTTTTTGTAAAGTCAGTAATTTCTGTGTAGTTGCAGCTCTTGTTCTAAATCCTGCTTTTTCTTTCTGGTTGAATGGAAAAATGCTTCTTAAAAAAATACATCAGGATTTAGAACTGTTCTAGTTAACTGAAGACATCCTTCCAGCAGTTTTCTGTGGATGTGTTTATTTCTCTGCAACACTTTAAAACTTGTGCTTTCTCTTTCATTTGAAAAAAACATGTAGGTCATTAAATTCATGAGAAGCCATTGGAATAGGTTTAATGTTTAACCTCTTGGTATTTCTTTAACTTTTTCTTACTGCACTCCAATAGGTGAACTCTTTACAAGCAGCTGCAGTTGGTTTGACTCATACAAAGCCACTCTGCATCTTGCTCTTCATACCTGTTCTTACTTCTAGGGCTCTTTGTCTGAAAGTACTGATGGTATAAATTTACTGATAATTTTGTGGGGTGTTTTCTGTTTGATTTGGTTTTAAAATGATGTTAGAAAATTTGTATTCCTCTCCACCCTCTGCCATAAGAGGTTGTTATATACAAGCTCAGATACCAAAGCCATTGTTTTTAATGGCAGCAAATCCTAAGGAGAAGGAGTTAGGATAAAGGTAGAAAATGGTTTTATCTTGTTAACTATTGTGAAGAAAGGTGTCATTCTCTGACTTCGAGTTTTCTTTGCTCTTTTTTGTCAGGATACTTAACAATTCTCTTGCTCCTAATACTCAGAAACAGGAAGCAGTTCTTGGATGTTGATCCTTTCTGTTTATTTTGGCAAGTGATTTATTCTGGGAGTTCACCACTGGGGTATGATTGGAAGTTAGTCGGAAGAGTCTCTGTACTCTAGTTTTGATTAGCTGGCTTCACGTGAGCACCACCTACCTTGCCTGACCTCTGTAAAGCACCTTGTGTCTTGGTGCATCTCAAGTGTTTTTGTAGATGAGCTGAATAGGAAATTCCCATTGAAACAGGCAAGCCTCTGTAGTTCTCCCTGCCTTTGTGGAAGTAGCCAATGTGCTAGAGAAGCTAGTTGTTGGGGATTGTTGGAAGGAAGGGGCATCTGGGACTGAGCCTGGAGCTGAGCTTGCGCAGACGTGTGGTTGCTCTGCTGATGGCACCAAGAACCTACCTGTTCCCTACTTGCTCTAGTCTGCCAGATTATGCTCATGATTAATTCATGGATCACAGAATGGCTTGACTTGGAAGGGACCTTGAAGATTATCTAGTTCCATGTCCTTGCGTGGGCAGAGACACCTCCCACTAGATCAGGTTGCTCAGCAGCCCCATCCAACCTAGTTTTGAACATTTACAGCAGTGGAGCTTCGACAGCTTCCCTGGACAACCTGTTTGAGTGTCTCACCACCCCCGAGTGCTGTTAGATAGCGCCCTTGTTCCTGCTAAATACCAGCCTTCCAAGCTCATTGCTTCTCTCTGGCCAGGGGATGAAATGGTGAGGTTCCTGCCAAAGGCTCAATATGAAGTTGCTTTTTTTCATTAAAAAAAATTACACTTAATTGACACTTCTCTAATAGCGTTGTGTATTTAATATCTCCATGGCATGGCAGGTCCTGTATGTAGTTTTTCTGGTTTCAGTGGGAGATGCTTGGATTGAAAAAGGAAGTGGTGTAATATGTTCATAATACGTTTTTGAGCAGGATGATTTATCAGTTATGAAGATACTGCAAGCTACAGACTTTTGGGAAGTGTGTTGTCATCTCTTATTACTGATGTGGCTTCAGAAGAGAAACTAATATTTGGAGAATTGCTTGTAGTTAATTGTCAGATTATTTGTGTTAGGTAGTGCTTTAGAGTGTGATTCCCATTTAAAGTGTTGTTGCTGGGTGAGGGAGGGGCTAGGAAGCAGTGCAGTGTACTGTTGTCATTTCAGGGAAGTAGAGCTCTAGTTCCCATGGCATGTGGATAACATCAGGTGTGGAAAATACGCCTTAGGGCTAAGGATTGTATCTTGTGCTGTGCTGAGCCTGTGTCTGGTTAGGAGATAAAAGTACCGCCCAACATACCTGTGTCTGGCGACCTGTTGGATCATGATTGGCCCTTGGGCTCCTAGTACCTTTCATCTATACTGTTGACAAATATTAACTGTTTGAGTTTCCCAATCCTCCCCATGGTGATTGATACATGGTTTTGTAATATTGCTATTGCTGACAAGAGCAATAACAGAACACCGTGGGAATGTTTATAGCATGGGGAGATAGAATAGTTCTTTTCCAAGTTTGAATAATGGTTTTTATTGGACATTTTGTTGATGAACCATTATTTACCTATTTTTTAAAACCCCACTTATTGAAGGAGTGTTACTCTCCAGTGGAGCCCTGTTAAAGATAGCAGAGCACAGCTTGTTGGTACCAATACTGAATACTGTGCCAAGCCTATGTAGTTCTGCAGTTGCACAACCTTTTGCTGCAGCTTGAAACCTATGGATGGAGAGCAAAGTGGGACAGTCAGCAGGGCTTGGTGCTAGCATGTCTTTTGTACAGGAGGTCCTAGGAGGGCAGCTGAGCTCTGGGTTGCTGTTGTTCTCTAGAAAGCCTTCAGTGAAAGCAAAAGGCTAAACTAAAAAGATAGCACCTTAAACCCTCTGGTAGGTCAGGGCATCGTGTTGGGAGGTAAGATGCTTCTCATGTAGTAAGAATGCTTTTTCCAGCTGTATTGGAGAGTGCATAAGATTGCTGTTCAGTTGGATTTAATTGCTACGATTTGCTGAAGGGGTGTTGTTTTAGGGTCATCTCCAACAAACTAATTGAGGCAGTTTAAAAACAACAACTTGAGCTCTCTTTATGTCAGACAATGGTGCAGTATAGGGAAGATATCGTATGCTACTGGTAATGTTTGCAGAAAGTAATTTTCTCTCTCTTCACCTGAAGTGCTACCTCTGTAAAATAGAGCTTTGTGTCTAGAAACAGTGAAGCGTCTTGACTATTTCCAAGAACACTTTGTCAGCCTGTGAATGTGGTGGTAGTGTGGAGATCTCAATAAATTCTCCATGGATGTTCCTCACTACTTGCCAACAGATACTATAAGGCTTTGCTATGCATCTTCGTGCTATGGGCTTTGCCACGGGAAGGAAAAAAAACTCGCAAAAGGTGTCTCTGCATGAATGACATTTTGTGCACACACTACTGCTGGTGATAATTAGTTTAAAACTGGTTAAGTTTTGTAAGAGATGGTTTCCCATCTCCTAGTCAGTGGCTAACAGTTTCTGAAGACAAGGGCACAGAAGGGTTCAAATCCAGTAAGAAAACTTTCCATGTGAGAACCTCTATTTAAATAGTCAGTATACCTTGTGGTGATTTTCCAGCTTTCCTTTGGTTTGCTGCATGCTTCTCACAGAATTGTAAATGTTTCCAAGTCAAGCCACTTCCAGAAGCTGGAGTAGGAGAGAACTGGGACATCTCTCAGAAATCTCAATATTACAGAGTAGGAATACAAATATGAGATGGTCTGTTAGTGAGCTGGTAACCTATATAACTTCAAAAGACAAACTCAAGTCTTGAGCAATCTCTTGTAGGAAGGATATAAGACTACACTGTAAGGAGGTAAGAAAGTCTGAGTAGCAGTGTTACCTCTTTGTGTTTTGCTTATTTATAAAGGACACTGCAGCAGACTCAGGTTTCCATGTGGATTGTTTTGGCATGAGAAGAGCACATTGTTTGGTTTGGCTTGCACTTGGTTCTCTGTCCTAGGAGGGTTAAAACGACTGAGGAGCTTTCTGATGTGCCCTCTCTGTGCTTCTAATGCGCTTTGCTTTCATCTGCTGTGTTCAGCATTTTATAGGCTTCACTCACGGAAATGTGGAGGGGGAAAAGTTTTTTTCCATTTCTCTGGCAGCATGCTGTTGTCAGGAGCTGTGTTTTTAGGATGGCACAGCTTAGAGTTTGTACTGCAGTGGATTCTCAAGTGCTGATTTAAGTAGGTTCAGAAGCAAGTGCTTCTGAAAGTGCTTCAGTAGACATTGCAGCATTCAAAGATGTAGTACTAACTCCTGTTACTTCACTTGTTCTTGTACACGTGTAATTTTTTGAAAGCTTAACGTAATTAGGTTGGTTTTTATTTGCTGGTAGCTTCTTTTTGCCAGATCTTTTCACCCTTGTGTGTCTTGATCAGAGTTGATACTAAAGAAAAACAGAATTTGCGTGTCCTTTCAGGAGAAAAAAATCCTTGTCTCTGTTCTTGTTGGCTTATATGAAAACAAAATGGCAGAAAATGTTATCCTTAAATGAGAATGGAGAGTTGCTGCTTGAAAAGGATGGCTTGAATGCTGTGGGTGACTATCAGACAAGACCTTGTGGTAGAAATGCTTCTAACTGTGTTAAACAGTAACGTCAAGTGTGGTGCTTTTTGACTACATTAGAATAAAGATAATAGAAGTTCCAGTTGAGGGGGCAAGACTGAATTCTATTTATAACAATTACCTATGTCCTGTGCTCTGAAAATCACCAGTGCTGCATCCTTCAAGTCTCATGTCTGAAGAAATACAAAATTTGAGCATCTTCCTTATTTGCTTAATATAGTACAATGATAGTAATGCAGATGTGCTTTTAAATGCAAATCCAAACATAGCAGGGTCTGATTTTCAGAGCTGATGTCAAGATCTTCGTTCAGTTGGATGGCATATATAATTTTAAGTGGGGCACGCAGTATCTCTTTGGAGGGTAGTAGCCTCATTTTCTCGGTTTTCCTGCCATTTAGTGCAGGTGCCAAATCAGTGTCTGTGTGGGAAGAAGTCTCTTGTTTAATGCTAGTTGAAAGGGGATGGGAGAGGGCAGATCTTGCTGGAAACCAAGCACTCACTACCAAAGACACTCTGAAGCCAAGTGGCTCTCTTGTTCCCTGTGACCATTGCAAATATGTCTTTGAAATGGGGAGCTGCGGTTAGCTTTCGTGGCTCAGCCACCATAACTTTTTTAAAAATCCCAGGAAACATCCAAACCTGTTTTCTGTTGATGTAATGCTTTTGTTTCTCGTTGCAGCTATGAAGCCGTTTGCTCCAGCTTTCATTCTCCTGTGGAGTGCTGTTGGGATAGCGAGGGCTGCCAAAATTGTTGTTGTGCCGCCAATTATGTTTGAAAGCCATCTTTATATTTTCAAGACTCTGGCCTCAGCTTTGCATGACCAAGGTCACCAGACAGTGTTTCTTCTCTCTGAGGGCAGAGAGATTCCTCCATCTAATCACTATAGACTTCAGCGCTACCCAGGGATCTTTAACAGCAGCACCGCGGATGATTTCCTGCAGTCCAAGATGAGGAGTATTTTCTCTGGGAGACTGACAGCCCTCGAATTGTTCGATATCCTGGACCACTATTCCAAGAACTGTGACATGATAGTTGGCAACCAAAACCTCATGCATGCCCTGAAACAGGAAAAATTTGACCTGCTCTTGGTAGATCCCAATGAGATGTGTGGATTTGTTATAGCTCATCTTTTAGGGGTTAAATATGCTGTCTTTTCCACTGGCCTCTGGTATCCAGCAGAAGTGGGTGCTCCAGCTCCCCTGTCTTACGTTCCAGAATTTAACTCGCTGCTCACAGATCGCATGAATCTCTTTGAGAGGATTAAAAATACTGTTGTTTATCTTATTTCAAGATTCGGAGTCAGTTTTTTGGTTCTGCCGAAATATGAAAGGATAATGCAGAAATACAAGGTTCTGCCAGAACGGTCCATGTACGACTTGGTCCATGGATCCAGCCTGTGGATGCTTTGTACTGATGTAGCACTGGAGTTTCCAAGACCTACGCTACCCAATGTTGTTTATGTGGGAGGAATTCTAACCAAACCGGCCAGCCCTCTGCCAGAAGTAAGGTTTGCTGAGCTTTAAAGTAATTTCTGTGGTATCTGGTTTACCTCATGATAAGTGACAGTTGTTAAGTGGTGAATTTCAAATGGGATCTAGTGTCATTTGTTATTCTTGGAGAAATACACCATTGGAATCACTGGAGGCAGCTTGGGGGGGGGGGGGGGGGGGAACACGGGGGGGGGGTGAGGGGAACTAGCAGATACAAACTCATTTTTGAGTCTTTTATGGTTGCAGGAAGTATTTTGCTTTTGAGTAAAGTTCTTAAGAGTACAGGCAAGGAAAAAAATAGTGCATGCTGTCTTGGAAATTGCATTGGTGGCTTCTACCCAATTGAGAGTTAGAAGGGAAACAAGGGAGAATGGATGAGTACTTGTTATGCTTACAGAAGCCTGCTGATAGGTTATACTATCTAATGTCATGCTATTAATGCTTTTATGGAGGGTTAGCTTCCCTTGGTTTGATAGGTAAAAATGTCTTGAGGTGAATATAAGCATGAAAGAAGTGTCTAGACCCAGAAATAGAGGTTGTGAGTTAACTTAAATGGCACCTCTACTGTATTCAGATATGAATTTTTACTGTGCCATCAGTTACTGAGTTTCAGACTGAAATAGTGATAGTGACTGGATTGATTCCAGAAATCCTGGCTGTACAGATTAATAATTAAGTTTGATTACTTGTCATGTGATCTTTGATACGTGATATCCAAGAATGCCTCTGTTCAACAACACAATGGTGAGTGACAGGCAGAAAAAAAATTCACAGAAAACCAGGTCATTTACACTTCTATGTATACATAAACAAATAGGTCCTGAATTTGAGATGATGATTAATGGATGCTTCTGGCTGGGTAATAAATAGGTAGTTAGATTTGCAGCGCTCAACAACTAACTTCTAAAAATGCCTTGTTCAGCTTTTGCTTTTTGCCTCAAAACTCTTAGGCCCCTCTTTTGTCTGTTTTAGCCTGGAAGCTGGTCATGGAGGACTGGGGTTTTTTGTTTCTCACGTTGTTCTTTGCACAGTCTTGACTTAGCAGTACATTGTTTTACCAACTTGAAAAGCATCAGACAATTCTGATTTGGACTGCAGGCTGTTGAGTACTGAGCCAGTTCCCTCATCCTTTTTTCCTCCTATTTCAGACTCTTTTAAATGTGTCTGAGCTGATGGGGAGCAGGCATTTGGTTTGCACTCTCAATGCACTAGGGGTTATATCCCAACCTACGCTATTGTCTGCTCTCCAAGGTGTCATCAGTGATGACCATCACACAGTGCTGCCTGTAACTGGTCGTTCCTGTGTGCGTGTTGATGTGTTTAGAAGGGGTCAGGCTGCACAGAGATCCTGAGAAGCAGACTAAAGGTACTTCTGAGCTGTCTAACCAAAGTTCAACCCTTTTCTCTTGTGAAAAAACTTTGGCTGGATTGAGGTTCAGCTCTGGTTTTCAAACCAGTGTTTCCTTGTTCAGTAGGAAGAAAAATGTCTTTGCTGCCATGATAAATTTGGGCAGTGTATCAGCATGTCTCTGTAGATGGGTCTTGAGGGTAAAAATTCAACTGTTCTCAAAAGTAGGTGTTTTCTTTGCTCCTTTCATTTTCTTCCACTCAATTTTATAGCAGTTTTCTTTGAATGTTTTGCTGCAGGGATGTACGTGTGTAGCTACAGAGATGTATTTGTACATGTATGTATAAATATATATTTGGAGCTTTTTGAGAACCTTTGTGTACTTTCTAAACTTACTCTGGAACCACAGATGTTAAACTGTTAAGAGTATTTTATGATGCGAGAAGGTGGAACAGTAAGTAAAATGTTAAATATAACCAGACGGGCAGTGACCTTGAGATAGACTTGTAGGTAGGGTACATGCTGGCAAATACTTATTACAATGAGAGGGGAAAAAACCACCCTGGAATTATTTGTGGACTGAGACATTATTTACCTTTTCATTTTTATTGGGCAATTCTTCTATGTTTTAAGGGTGAAATTTGATGGAATGCGAGAGCGTGTTCATCTTACATCCTGTTATTTGTGCCTAAACTGTTATGCATAAACCCCTGTGGTATGTATTGTAAGTAAGTTATTGAGCAGTTTGTTTTAATTAAACAGTTAGATAAAATAACTGTCACTGTACCCTGGCAGATGAAAACTGTATAGCTAGTGCTGTGCCTGCTTTCAGCTCTTGCTGCATCTATCTTTAAGGCAGGAGCCTTGGCAAATTTATTTTCTTCAGCGTTTAGTTTGGTGCATTAAAGTAAACCAGAAGCAGAGCTGGTTCATGTTGCTCTGCTGAAAGTAGTGATTCTTCAGGAGCTGTTTTGTAATCAAAAGTGATGGTTCAGTCCAGAGATGATAATCAGAAAAGAGAGGGCCATGTGTCTGGAGGTAACAGCTTCAGCAGGCAAATTTAAGCTATCATTATAAGCTATTCAGCACTCTGACTTTCTCCAAAACTACTTTTAAGTAGCTCAGTCCATTGCCTCTGATAGAGAAGCATTAGGAAGAAAGTGTTGTTTCAAGTCCAAATTACCTTTGCAGCACAAAATACTGAGGCAGTGGAACTGCTGCCTTGTCAGCAGAGAGTTTGTTGGGTTTTTTGGAGATGGTGGTGGAGGGTGTGTGAAAAAGGAAAAGTAGGGTTTATTTTTTAAACAAATTAGATTTCTTACACAACTGAAAAGGTATAGTTTTCTATGAATAGGAGACATCTTAGAAAGAAAAGGCAGAGAGTGGTAATTAAAGAGCAGACAAAGGTTAAGGCCTTTTAAACTGTTACAGGATGGCTGTTTAATTTTAGGGGATGTGATAGCTCTGTTTAGTGTTTGCTCAGAATTTGTAACTGTTTTTCTTAATCTCTCTTTAAAGGTAGAAAAATACAACTTCAGGGGTAGTATGTAAAAGGGGTTGCTGCATATCCATTTCAATGTGTGTGAGGGGCAAAAACCTGGCTCTTGCTCTGTCCCATCTACATTAATATTTTGATTTGGGACAATCGAAGGGTTTTGTAAATCCCCCAATCATCTCCACTTCATGTAGGGTTCCCTGTGTAGGGTGTTTTTGCCGCAGGTAAATTAGATTTATTTTGGAGGATGTTAGGCTGGAAGCTTTATTTCACCTGTAAACCAAATCCTTGCTGGTGTCTGATAGGAGATTTGAGGATTTGAGCATTTTGGAGGGCTTTCAGTGTTGTGGCTTGTGGGGGGAATGCTCTGGCCAGGGGACCACAGCAGATGCGACCCCAGTGAAGCTGCTGGAGTGTGCGCAGAGCCCCTGCTGCTCTGGCACGGTGCCCAGGTAGGGCAGGCTGCAGTCCCTGCAGGGAATGGGTGCTAGCTGTGCATCTTGCACCTACCTTACCTGTGAAGGGAACTGCCGTTGCTGGGACGTATCCTTGCTGCCCAGCACAGGTCAGAAGCCAGCAGTAGCTGATGATGTAGTTAGCAGTCATGGCTGCAGTGGTACGCAAACTGCAAGCGTGTCTTCGGATTGCAGCCTGCCCGGATGCCTCGGGAAGCCTTCGCCAGCCCCTGATCCTTGTTTCTGCTCTCGCTCGCTCAGCACTGCCCGATGCCGGTCTGCTCTTGGCGCAGTGTCCCTCAGCGCAGTTGCAGTGATCAGCGTGCGCTGAGGAGCCGGAGCCAAGAGCCAGCGAGGAGAGCAGCGGGTCCTTTGGAGGTCATTGCTCGGCTCGCTGCGGTGCCTTGCGGCACAGCACTAGCAGCCGGGAGCTTTTTCCTCGCCGTAGCAGGGTTAGTCTTGCCCTTTACAGAGAGGCAAGGTGTCTTTCAGTGACTGAAATTCCTCACGATGGTATATTTCCTTCTGCTCTTCTCTGATGCCAGCTGAAGGTAGATGAAGCTGAGTGTAACTTCTGTCACTCTGGTTCATCGTTGTGGCAGGGCTGATCATCATTTCAAAGCTCAGCATAGGCAATAAATACTGCATACTTGAATTATTTTCTGTGGCAGCTACAATGCTCTTTTCACTGGCTTTAGGAAATGCTTCTTGCATAAATAATGTGCCCTGTAAAAAACTGAGATGGTTAATGTGGATATACCAATTACCTGTATGTTAATAAATTTTATGTACAGGTGAGAAAGGGTCCAGGGCTTGCATAGTTAACTCCAGAAAGTGTATTTCAAATTGTGTAGAGGACAGTGCAAGCAGAATTAGCCTTAAAAGATCAAAGGCTAGAGACAGACTGAATGGCAAGTCTTTAAGATCATTGCTGATTTAAACTATTAAGTGTGTGGTGTTACCTGGCAGTAGTTTCCAGATAACTGTCAGTGGCCATTAGGAAAGTAAAAGGCTCCTGTCTCTTACTACCCTTCTCCAGGGATATCTTGAGAAGCTGAATGCAGCTGGCTTTTTAGAGGAATACATATTTTTAAAAACAATGGGGGAAACCTCTGCTGTGGCATTTGTATCTTGTGACTGGGTTGATACGTAGTTAAGCATTAATCAGCCTGATAAGGCATGTCCTTGAATTGGGTTAGAAACCCAGTGGGTGCTACAAGCATCTGCCTTGGGAAATACTGTGTCCCTCCTGAAGAGCGCAGTGGGAAGGAGCAGGCATCTTAACCTCAAGGAAACCAGCTAAACAGTTTCAGGTTTCCTTTCCATCTGCTAGTTGATGATTTAAAGGTGTTGGGACATACGTTTAATCCTGCAGTTTGAGTACAGTTGTACTTGAGGTGATCTTTGTCAGTATTTAAAAAAAAATAAATCAAGAACTTAAACCATGCAACTCAGTAAGTTGAGCTTCTTTCCCACATCTGCACAGTTTTCAGGCTTTCATAACTATGGTGTAACAATGCTCTTCATCGGTGCTGAGCTTGAGGTGGAACTCTGGACTGAATGCCATTTGTTGGTAGAAGAGAAACAAATGATGGGGTTTTTAAATTCTGCTTTACCTGAGTGAACTAAATATATGCTACAAAAGGCAGTGTTGATTTTTCAGAAGTTATCCTTGCAGCCATAGCTGTCAGCAAATAGTAATTACAGTAACTTG